TGAAGTCCACACATCTTAAAGTTCCCAAGATTGAGGAACACTGCTTTATGGATTATTTCAGGAAATCCAGACACCTTTTAAACATGATTTGTTGAACAAGCCATAGTCAGGTTTTATATATAATACTCAACTGTGATTACAAAACCCAGTACAATGACTGAGTTTCTGATAAAAAAAAGAAATACTTCTCATGAAAAACGTATATAGTAAGAAAACAGAATTATGAAGAAAGAATTAATTGGCATTAATTGTTATATATTTATTATGTATTTCTAAGTTATATCCTGGCTTTTCTCAGGGAGCTGAAGGTGACAACTACTTCCTCCAGTTTTTGCAACAATAACCCTTATGGATAGGCTGGGCTGAAAGAAGATAACTGACCCAAAATCATTGAATGGGTTGTCATGGCTGAGAGTGGATTTAAACCAAGATCTCATTTGATTCTCTCGATCACATAGAATCATTACATTCTCAGTTACATAGAATCATTACATGATTCTCTTGATTACATTGATTCTCTCAATTATGTAGTAATGTGTAATAGCACCAAATAGGAAATCAACTTTAATATGCCAATTCAAATACGTTACAACGTAAGCCAACATGTTTTCATTTGAAGGGCCCAGTGTTGAACGTTCATTTGAGACACAGTTATGTTTTCACTATATCTTGTGTCCATATATCATTTTTCCTCCACTGATTTTTCTGTTGAAGACAGAATCCAGTAAATTTATGTTTGAGGAAACCCAAAATATTTTTAAAAAAGGGCTTTTATTTTAACTGATTTATTTATTTATTTATTCGTTTATCAAATTTGTCACCGCCCATCTCCTTAAAAAATGACTCTGGGCAGTTTACAGAAAAGAAATATTAATTAAAAAATACAATAAAACAGTTTAACAATTTATCCTAAACAAATAGTAAGTGTCTTCCAAGTTAATTAATGGTAAATAAAAATTATTAGGCTCGGGGAATGTCATCAGGGTGCCAGCCACCCCCAGGGCTGTTTTGTTTTACTGCTTTGAATGAAAAATATTGATTATATTTCAAATCTTCCAGGATACTCTGGATGAGGCCTCCACTGTGTATATAACTGGGAGCAATTGCCCACCCTTTTAAAAGACTCTTAACACAAAACTAATAATGACAAATCAATAGGAGCTGAATTTTATATACTGAGTTATAGCAGAAAGAAGACAAAACATTTTTTTTCAGACACCTATTGTAAATGGCCATCAGAATAAATAATCACTGAGTCTTCAAGGAACCATTAAAAATCAATTAATATTACCAACATCACCTGGGGTGGGGTGGAATGGGGATCACTCTAGGAGTGTATGAAGTAGATGCTTATGCCCAGTAGCAGAATGTAATAATTTATATTTGTTTTAAAATGTGTTGGTTTACAATTTATAGAAGTAGTCCTATTAAAGTTTTGTTGTTTTTTTCTTTTTGGTTTTTATGGCATATAATTATTATTTTGTTTAAGAAACGCACTGAACTTCATTTATTAATCCTTTCCCCTTAATTTTATTTTCTGTTTGAAAATACCAACTGACATATAACTGTGGTGCAAATATGCTATTAACTCTTCTACAGTTTCTTTACAGAGGCATTTTATGTGCTTCTCTTAAGCTTGGGCAAACCGAGCTTTTGTGGAATAAGAAAATCAGAACTAGTTCATATAGTGTTATGGATAACCTAACCAGAATTGGTGTTTCAATCAGAGGCATGCATAACGTTTTTATTTCCATTGTAGCTACAGAGCTGTTGTAGGACTCTTCTGTGCTGGAGTTTGTGAGACTTAATGGAAGCATGTATTATTTGGTTGTGGCAGTGATTTTGCTCCCTTCAGGTTTTCAATTGCTTTTGTTTTCCTTTGTTGACTTTGGTGCCTGGATGCAGCAGGTGGTAGGAAAGTGTATTTCAAAATGGAAGCTAAAACAGTTAAAGTGCAGATTGAAAACAAGAGCAGGAAGCTGGAGCTGTGGTTGTCTCTAAGGATAAAATGATAAAGGACAGCTAGAAAACAATTTTTTTGATGCTGCGCTTCATTCCCAAAAGGTTGATACAGTCCTTTGTGAGTGCAGCTTCTGCACCCAGGTGACTTTCCAAAGTTCTGTAGAGACCTCTTTCCCCCTAAGAATCCATGCAAGCCAAGAGGCCATTAGGAAAGGTGTGAGATCTGGGGGCCGCTCCTGTACGTCAGTCCATCCTTCTCCCTCTTTTCAGTGAATGTGTGTCCTCCTTGTGCAGGAACTGCAACCCAAGAAGATCTGCTTGTAGCCTCCATCTGTGATTGTTAATGCCTTTCCCAAAACAGATGCCCTCCAGGTGTGTTGAATTTGAACTCCCATAATGCCAAAGTAATTGGAAATTATATTATTCCAATACATATTACAGTAACACATTAAATTTAAAACCAGAGATACTAAAACAATTAAGTACAAACAACAACTCGAGGCCTGTTTTAAAAGGTGTGTCTAGGACCTTTTTATAAGTTGATAACTTAGCAAGCTGAGAATTAATTGGGAATTATGGCATTTGAATTCCAGTATATCTGGAGAGTATCAGTTAGGGGGAAGCTAGAGTAAATCTTTTATTTTTAGTCCATAAAGTTGAACCTCAGCCTCACAACTCCTTATCTTCTATCTATCAAAGCAATCTTATCAGTTACTTGCCCTCAAATCTCCTGGACAGTAGGTTTCTTAGTGTGTTTTTTTTGTTTTGTTTTGTTTTGTTTTAATGAAGGGTATAAATATATTATAAATATATTACTATTTTCTTTAACCCCATATTGGTTTTTGTTTGATTTACTGGTTATTCTAGCATATATACAAATGTATATAATAAGATGCTCTTGCATTTGTCTTAGATTGTTAAGGTAGGCATCTCAGTCATCAGTGCAGTGTTGTGGAAATTAATCCAATCTGATCCTGCAGCATGCACAAATTTAAACTATTTTCTTCTGTCATCAGCATGATCTGTAGCTCAGGCTATTTATCTTAAAATTTTCCAGCATACATTGAATAATGTTTCTGTGCTGTTACAATGCAAACCTAAGCATGTTTATTCATTTGTAAAGTTTTCCAGTTTTTTAATGGAATTTGGGATTCTAGTTTTGCACTACAATCTGTAATAGAGTAAGAAAATTATTGGCTACATTTGGACATCATAATAATGAATACAGTGTAATAGGTAGTTCTATTGAACTCTTTGACAAGTTCTGAATTTTGGAGGCAACCAGAGTGTTCCATCTGATTGCCCTAGAGTGGGATCTCTCTGTTCACCAATTATGGGGATCACTTTGGTTTACTAAGCAGCTCTGGAAAATGAAGGAACAAAAGCAACACCTGAGTGTTGGGGGAATATAAGCAGAAAGAACCAAGCTAAAAAGTCTGTTTAATTGTTGTGCGCTGCCCAGAGTCACTTTGTGTGAGATGGGCGGCTATATAAATGTGATAAATAAAATAAATAAAAATAAAGATGCAGCTGCTGACCACTGACGGTTATTTGCACATCTCAGTAATGATATACAGATTTGCTGCAAGGGAAGGGTCTGATGAGGTGACCAAGCTGATGCCTGATAATGTTATCTGAGATTTGTTTTGGCTTGTTGACTCAGGAGAAGTAGATAAAGTGTTCTGGTTATGAACATCACCACTTGTGGGTTTGACACGTGCCCCACCTGGCTCCTTCAGGCAGCCAGAGGAGGTGGGGAGGGTTGAATCTGGGAGGTAGTCAGCATTCCTTTGGTAGATGTAGTTCTACCAGATGCTTTGAATGATGTCATAATGCACCCTTTCCTGAAGTTGCCTTCCCAGGATTCAGTGGGACTGAGATTACTGTAAACTGTATTAGTTGCTCTAGTGGATGACTTTTATTGGGATGTGGATAAGAAAAGTATATCCCTCTTTCTCCCTTTAGACCTCTTGGTAACATTGAGCACCACTGATTATGGTGTCCTTCTAGACCATTGTTTCTTAAAGTGTCGTCCTAGGACCCCTGGGGGTCCCCCAAAACCTTCTCAGGGGTCTGCAAAATCAAAAATATTTGCCAGCCTATGTGAAAAATAATACAACACTAAAATCCCATCACACAGTCACGAGAAGCATTAGCAGCAATGAATGTGTCCATTTTAATTTTTAATATGGTAAATATAGATAGATATAACCCATACAAACAAAAGCTCTTTTGGGGTCCTCCATAATTTTTAAAAGTGGAAAGGGGTCCTGAGAGAAAAAAAGTTTAAGAAACACTGTTCTAGACCATCTGCAAGGGTTGGGAGTGGGGGACACTGTTCTGTGGTGGTTCTGTTCCTTCCAGTGTGGAGAGTGAAGTCAACCTGGTCCTAGCCCACTTGTGGGGTAATGTAGGGATTAGCTCTTTTTCTCCTACTTTTTGTTATCTACATGAAATTATCAGGAGAGATCATCTATATTTTCAGGGTATATTACCATCAATATCATCAATACTTTACATCTCCAACCCACACCATACTAGAGATGCAGTGGATGTGTTGACCCATTGGCTGGAGGTTGAGGGAGTCTGGGTGGGAAGAAACAAACTGGAACTCTTGAAACTCAGATCTCCTGTTTGTTGAAAAGTCATCTAGCTCTCTACCAGCTCTTGTTCTTACTATGAACAGGGTTGCTCTTCCCTGAAGGAGCAGTTTCACAACTTGGAGTTTCTCCTAGATGCACAATTACTGTTGGATTTGCAGATAGAGATTGTGATTGGGAGTCTTTGCCCAACTTCAGCTGGTGCACTAGTTGTGACCCTACCTGGATCAGGAGCCCTTAGTCATGGTATCTCATGCACTTAGCACCTTGAAACTAGACTACTACAGAAACTGTAGTTGTGCAAACTGCACTGGCCTGTATACTGATGACTGAGAGCCATTATGGCCATATATACCACCAGTTTTATGGATGCTGCATTGACCTCAAGTAGGTTTCCAGCTATAATTCAAGATACTAATTTTAGTTTTCAAAGCTCTGGATGGCATGACTTCCAGTTATCTCACACACCTCCTTCAAGGAGAACTGAACCATCCTATATATTCATATTGGTAAGGAATGCTTAAGGCCCCTTCCATTCATGGTGGCCTAGAAGCATTGCTTCTCTGTTGCAGTCCTTTGCTTTGGAATAACTTTCTCCCAAAGGTTCAGTTGACATCCACCTGAGGGAAGGCTGTGGAAACAGTTTTGTTCCACAGAACTTTAATGGGTAATTGCAGTTGTCACCATTTGGATGGGGTGCTGGTGGATGGCTACTTTGTTTATTTAAAACATGTATATAGCCACCTATCTTAAAAAGAATTCTGGGTGGCTTGCTTAATTTAATTATAGTCTTTATTGATTTTATGTTCCACTGTTTTATAAACCACTGGGAAATTTTATCTAGAATATGAGGTATATAAAATTATAAAGAGATAATAAGGAGCATGTTCCTTCTGTGGTTGCTTACCTGAGGCACTCTGGCTTCTCTCAGGAAGCCATGCATCAGAAAATAAGAACAAACCATGGCTTCTACTCTTGGCTTGCTAGGAGAGGAACAAGACAGAGTTTCTGGTTAAGTGACAGGTGAGCAAACCTTGAATCGAGCATCAAGGGTTTGTAGAGCTACTATTATTGGCAAGTAGGAGCAGTCAAGCAGCATGCTGTTTATTCCAAGATTCAGAAAAATACTGGCTTAGCTGGCTTATGTGAACTGGCTTACAGTATGTGAGACTGCACTAATTATATCAGGTTTATGCAGACAATATTTTGTAGTTGCTGCTAACGGCTGGCATTTCAGTTTGTTCAGCTTTTGCTTCTGTAGGAAACTAACACATTCACAGTTCTGTTTTTGAAAGTATAGAAAATCATTTTTAGTTTTCCATATATTTAAAATATATTCTGTGTAAAAATGCATTTTTGTATAATGATAGGCGCCCTAGTTCAAATACTTCTAAAAACAGAATATGCATCTAGATTAGATTAGATTTTATTAATTTTGCTCAGTGACCAGTTTAAAAAGAAAAAGTACAATCAGATCATGTGTGCAAATATGGCATGAATAAATAGAATAAAATAAGTAATAACAGTGCATGCCATTAGAATTAAACTCCTGGATAAAAATTGTGTCTGTATTATTACTTATAATAAAGTAGTTTAACAATATAAACATAAATCATCCTGTTAAATTTAAAAATCTGGGATAATATGCACCTATGAATACTCAATTATTTTGTGGTCAAGATTCATTCTCTTAAAAGAAAAAGTTAGCATCCAACTGCAGACATTGCGGCTGGTGAAAACATAACATTACTAGAATGGGCATGGCAAAATTATGTGGTCATTTCACTTGTGAGTTAGGGCAGTTGGGGAGTCCTAGGAACAAAAGGTGTGCTTTTGTTTAAGGGGGCTGTTTGCCCCTTTAAAATCCTTCAAAACTAAAACAGGTAATTTTTTTACTCTGACCACTCTAGGGACTCTGAGGATTACTGAAAACTGATGGGTCAAATGCAGCCAGTTGATTGTACTTTTACACATTACAGTTTGTATATAAAACTTTGATAAGATAGTGGATGCTTACATTTTTTCTTAACAATTTACTTAGAACATATGCCATCAGAAGAATAAGAGATGCCTTTAGAGAAAACAAAAACACCAAGGAATCGTCAGAAATAAATGCACTAATCAGCAAAGCAAAAACTAATCTGGAAATGATACACCGGCAGGTAAGCAGTTGATTAATTAAATTCCATACATTGTATAGTATTCCCTTTCTTGAAGTATGTAATTCTAGTCTGTTTTATCTCTCTGTTAACATAGATTAAATATATACTTTACAAGTTCATATTAGCAACATACGTGTTTCTGTATTAGAAGACACAAAAGGTAAAATAGAAATTTATATTGTTTTGAACTTTGAAAGTATGTCTCTGAGAAGGGGAAAATGGAAACCACTGCACATACAAATATATTAGGGTACAGTATCTTAAGGACCCTATTAGTCTAACAAAACACTCCCATTGTCGCTGGTGCTCCAAAATGTTGATGGGAATCTTTTCTCAGATTTACTACCTGAGATCCTTTAGCTTAGAAGATACTGAATTAAGGATTTAATTGGAAAAAAGATATTCTCTATCACTACACTCTGCTCAATAGGAGGAGTTGTTTCTGTATCCATCTTGTATATTCCAGCTGCTGTGATACTATTTTATGAAACATAAATTTCTTAATCATAGAAAAGTTAGAATCCCATAGAATTACCGAATTCAGAGTTATTTGGAAATAAACCTTATTGACCCTTATGGTACCTCTCTCTGAATTAGGAAGACACAGATTCTTTGTGAGTCTTTGTGAGTCAGGTTGTATCCAGTACTGCTCATTAACAACACTGTTGTACAATGCTAGGTGTGGCCCTAGAAACCATTTATACAACCCATTGGTTAAGGTTACTAAAAATGGCATGATTTCCCATCAGTTGGAGAAACCTGTAAATTAAGCCCTAAAATAAGCCTACCACCATTTAAAAGCAAAGAAAATCTGCAAAGCTTCTAAAATCCAGTTCTGCCCCAAATCTACCACAGAAGATTTGTAAAGCAGATAGGAAAGTTTAAAGGCTGTGCGTGCATTCCCTTTGTCTTTGTCAGTTATTTATTCATTTTATATCTCATGTTTTCATATGTTGAATGCTCAAGTGTCTTATAATAATAACAGAAATACATAATAAAACTAAAGGAAAAAGAAGACATTTAAAACTACAAATATTAAAATCTTTATTGTCATCTTTAGTAGGCAGCTATCTATTTGATTTTAGTGCATTGAATATATATATATTCATTTGTTTATGTTCTTTTGAGTTTTATTCATGAATTTGTTTTATAACATAAACAGCATATTCAAACAATGCATATATTCTGTTCTGCTGGTGGCAATATACTAACTTGAAGTCTTCTTCCAAGCATGGATTCTTAGGTAGACAAAGGGTACCAGCCAGGAATAAAAAGTAGCAGTAGGCCCAGGAATAAACCAAGGGTTTGGGGTGGGGGAGGAGGAACTAATAAGCAGAAGGAACCAAAATAGCCCATTTACGACTGACCACATTCAGTGGATGCAGAATGCTGACTGGATTGGGAGAAAAATTGAAAATCAGATAAAATAGAATCAATGTCCTAGAAGAATATAACTAGTTGAGTGTAAATTTGAATAGAGTCACTAAAGACAGTACAGGTAGTCCTTGAGTTATGACCATTTGTTCAGTGACCAATGTAATTGAAGTTACATCAGTACTGAAAAAATGGACTTACGACTGGTCCCTGAAGTTATGGCCGTTGCAGCACCCCTGTGGTCACACGATCATGATCTGGGCACTTGGCAACCGATTTGCACTTACAGCCGGTTGCCAAGCACCCTGCCATTTGCAACCTTCCCTGTTGGCTTCCCTACAAGCAAAGTCAATGGGGAAGCCAGCAGGGAAGGTCACAATTCACTCGGATAAATCTCCCCCACCCACCCTGGCCTTTCTTCATTCACACACATCGCACCTTCCTTCCCCCCTTCACTTGCATGCACTGCACTCTTCTTCCCCCTTTGCTTGCTCACATGCACCAGCATCCTCCTTCCCCTTTCACTCACACACATGCATTGCGCCCTCCTTTGCTCGCATGCACCTTTTCCCCCTTCACTCCCTCCCAAGGGGAAGGAGGGTGCTGGTGCGTGTGAAGGAGGGAAGGAGGGTGTGGTGCATGTGAGCGAAGGGGGAAGGAGGACCAAGAATCCCTTGAGCCACAGCTTAGCAAGCAGCCCCAGAGCCATGCAGTTCTGGGGTTGCTTGCTGCCCTGCAAGGCAGGGTGCAGAGCAGCCAAAAGAGCAGAGATGGTGGGGCAGGTAGATGGCAGGGAGTTGGAGGCAGTCTCTGACCTTGCTGAGGCTCAAGGCTGGAAGGGACCAAGCCCAGAATGGCCTGGATTGGGTGGGTCCCAGTGGAATTCGCTTAACAGCAATGGGGAGTGCCGGGATTGCTGTCGCTAAGCTATGTGGTCACATGACGTTTTGCTTTATGACTGCATTGCTTAGCAACGGAAATTCCAGTCCCAATTGTGGTCGTAAGTCGAGGACTATCTGTAGTATTTTTATGTATTTGGATCCACTTAGTTTCAGTTTCTCTTGGCTCATCTTGTAATATCATCTGAAATATTCATCCCACTTTTCATTTGAGAAGGACATTGAAAACAGCCAACAAAATTGATGAAATAAGTAAATATATAACTTTACAAGTTTGAATTATTTTTGTGCTAAAAATAACAGCAGCTGATGTATTCCTAGATTTGTCCTGTGTATTGACAATGCAGTTGTATGCATATTTAGGATTGTATTTCAGTTTACTTTGGTAAGTGTACATTCAGTAGTAAATGGGTATTAGGGTTGCATAGGAAGTCTTAAATATGAAATTATTTTCAAAATGATATAAAAAAAA